TTAAAGAAACATGTAGGTATAGTTTAAATGCAAAAGTTGCAACGGTGTCAGATAATAAGAAATAAATATAAAAGTTTACTTAAAATCAGTATATTTAATAATCGAACACCTTGACAACTGTTAACATTTGGAAAAGTTAAATTATTTTCGCGAAAAGAAATTAATTTGTCAAAATCTAGACTTAGCTTTTTTTATAAAGTAGAATTTAATTGCTTTACATCGGGAATCTGCAGCAGTTTCCGAGATAACCGTACTAACAATCGAAAAAAAGTATAACTCATAAAGCAAAATAAACTATAGAATCGCGCATTTGTGATGGTCATAAATCATTAGCACCCAGAAGCTCAGAATCGCATTACTGGTTTCTATATTTCTTGGACTAAATATTGCGCATGTAAATTATCGTTGTATATTTCGTGCCACCATTATACTGGCTTTCCTGGTTTGAGGAAATATATGACTATTATTAAAACTCCGGTAATTTTTATATAACAAATTGCGAAAATTCTTAAGCCTGTTAACCTAGTTATGTGGAGGTAATTTTCAGAACTGACTAATAGTTCAAGTTCTATATGACCCAGATTAGATTCCTTGTCGTAATAATGTTTGATTAAAAAATCATACAGTTTCATTATTGTGTTGCAGTCTGGGTAAATGAAACTTTCTGACCTTATACCTTACATTGCTAGTTTAATTAATAATTTTTTCGTGTAGTAGGATTACGAACAGTTCCTAATTAGGTGGACCTTTTTATAAATGTTCTTAAATATCTGAATCTATTTAGAAGAAGGGTAAATATAGTCAAATCTCTTCAATAGATCTTCAAGCCTTTCTCTTAACGACGAATAAGAATCATTGTAAATTATTTGTATAATATACTCCGTTCGCCGAGACCTCCCACTTCGTGTATCACTTATATGAGTTATTTTATACAAATATTAATATTTTCACTATTTTTGATTTTTCAAGGCATCGTGAAAGTTTGGTAATTAGCAATTGGCTGATTGTCAGTTCGTAAATTGCCATAATTAGCACTAGGTACTTCTAAGTTTATGTTATATGCCTGTATGACTAAAACATGCGTTTAATTTGTTCAAATGAAGAATAAGCGGACATAATGATAGTCCATAACTGCTAGTGTAAACATAGGCCCGTAGGGCGTTCGTTTAGATTTTACAAGGCGATAAAAATTTATTTAGAAAATGTTTCCCTTACCACTTCAAAAACGGTTACTTAAATAGCGATTTTAATGTCGATTGGCAGATGATCATTAAAAGCAATAAAATTTCGACCAGTTGAGTTGCCAATAGTTGTAATTAAATATGCAAAAAATGTCAATATTTTGCTTGTTTCGATTCCCTCTCATAATAAGCTTCTTTTAAAGAATTCGCTAAATTAAGAGAGCTTTATGGAAATGGACTTTTGCCTATTGGAAACTTAATTAAGTCAAATAAAATCACGTAATTGTCTAAGATGTAGTGTTTTATTATTTGATAATTAGGTACCTATATTTGCTGCCAAATTTCGTTAAAATATCAATAAATGTGTATGAAATATTAAAATGTTGGTCTAAATGAAGTTTCAACGTCTTTTCTATCCTAAACGAAGGTTTTCTCGATCTAAGTCGATTTGAACATTTTTGCTTAAAATCAAATGTAGAATATCATATTGAAGAGTGTGCAACTCACCCTGAAACTCCCTGTATTTTAGAACTACTTCCTTCTGTAGTCGAGAATATGTAATACATATTAGCAGGAATTGAATGAAAGTTAATTTCAATGTTTGCACATTTATTAAAATAAAATACTCATTAGAAAAAGTACAAATAGAAAAATGTTAGAAATGTGTCGCCAACATTTTTTATGGAGATTTTATTTAATAATTAGGGCCAAAAACCGAGCGGTTAATTAACCGCTCGGTTTTTGTCGAAAGTTCATTGACAAATAGAGATCGCTCCTGAAATTCGCTAACCAGTTCGTTTTTACGAATGGAAGTTCGTCTTGGGATTGAACTGTTTCTATTTTTACGTGATATAATCAACAATTTCCACAATATTCATGTGTGGTTCGAAAGCTCGCATGCTATTCCAGAAACTTAGTTTCAGATCATATTCCGTGTAAACTTTTGGTTTGCAATAATTAATAATGAAATGATTCGGCCACATTTCTGTGATGGGAATTTGAACAGAGCATCGCGAATTCTTCGGCGGGAATTTGTTGCTTAAGTATTTAAAACAATATAAACCTTTAACCTGAACAAATAACTAAAAACATACAATTTTCAGGAATCCATATTGCAATTCGCTTTTTTATTAAATTCGAATCCATTAGAGAAATGTTTGCCAACCCAATTAAGAATATGGCCCTATTTTCCTAGGATCATCAGCCAGCTTGTCGAACCAGGAATGGATTAGTCTTTTGTTCGCTAATTTGGAACAGGGCTAATTGAAAAGGAAATATAATTCTGTGTACGAATTATAATACTATTTTAAGCTATGGTGGTTGCTCTTTTGTCCTTTCTAGTTTCAAAGCCCAGGGAATATAAAAGGTTTTGTTTGAAAACTATATTTTGTTTGTATCTGAAATAAAAATGAGCTTTGTTGTACGCGTTGATGTATAAAGATTTGGCAATTCAAATAATTGAACTTTGGGAATTTTTATTTGAAACGAAACGAATTTAATAAAATAAAGTTTCGAAAAACGTGCGTTCCTGGTATTTAATATTTTCCAATTAAAAATTAGTTAGTTTTTGTTACGCATTCCGCCATGTACATGAATATCTACATTAATAGATACGGACATTACCAAATTATTACATAATTAATTGCGTTTCTTGAGTAGGAATGATACTTTTTGGGTCCCATGTGTAGTTTGTCTGCCTTTGGAAGTCAGTCAATTTCAGATAAGTCACACAGACTGGCAGACATTCATCCGTTTGCAGATAAGGCACAAAAGAACATTTTTACGGCTGATGAAAAAAATGTACCTAGAAAACATTTTTATTGGGTAGAGCATTTGTCATTATAATCTAAACGTTTTAATTATATGAAATTGAGTTCCAATGCGACATTTACATGTTGTCTGGTAAATTGGCCATATAGAAACTATAAAATGATTTTTGGAGAAATGGCGTTTTTCCATTAATCAATTGTTAACATTTTATTTTATTTGGTTTATCAGGTTCTCAAAAATTCACAAATGAACAGACTTTCTGTAACTTTTTTGAGACAATTTACATATTTTTATTTTAAAGCGTTTACTCCGTACTGTGGCAAACCAATTTATTCAACCTTCAATGCTGTTGAATTTAAAATGTCGTATTATTGATTTCTTATTTCAATAGTAGCCAAATAAAATTGCGAAGCGGAAATAGCATCTGAGGTTATCCAAGACAATCCCCTTTTCAGAAAAACTTGAGCCTAAGAGGTCCAAACTTATTCTAGATAGTCTCATTCCCATGATTATCCTTAAATCTCACTTGTCTATACAGGGTGGCCATTTTCTGAATCTTTGTATCGGTAACTTCTACATTTTTAAAGATAGAGAATCCGTTAAATGGGCAAAATTGGGCAGAATTCTATTGCCTATTCATTACCGTTTTCAAATTTAGGTACCCGACTTGGGTCCAGAAATATCCTGAAAAGGCAAGAAATCAACACTTTTTTAATTATCATGTAATTCGTAAACTGCTTAAATTAGAAAAAAAAGTTAAAATTGTATTTTGTAGAACTTTTTGGGTTGAATTCAATAAACTAGCACTCGTTGCCATAGTCAACTTCATTTACGAGATAAAAAATAAACTTATGTTTTTTTAAATGGTAATCATAGTTGGCTCTGGGCCTTTTAAAACCCTTATTTTTTTCTGAATTTAACGATATAACTGTTTGCATGTTTTTCTCCTTTTGTTGCCGTAAAACTTCAAAAGAAAATAAAAAATCTGTAGTCGGCTATGGAAACAAGAACTATATTATCACACAAAGCACAAAACAAAAATGAAATAATTAACAGGCACAATCATGTTTACTGGGCTACTAATGTCTGGTGAGGCATTTTTAGTGATAAAATTATTGGTCCATTCTTTTATAATCGCAATTTAAACATGGAAAGATATTTACACTGTTTACCAAACGAACTTGAAGACATGTTGAATAGTTTTCCGTTAGCATCGTATCGAGAATTGGCATATTTTCAACATAATAGTGCACCTTCACACAACTCACGAGTTGAATGTGAAGATGCCAAAAAATGTCTGGACGTAAACGGAAGTCAATTTGAACACTTAATTTAAACGATTCATTATTGTTTTGTGCTTTGTGTGATAGTATAGTTCTTCGTTCCATAGCCTACTACAAATTTTTTATCTTCTTTTGAAGTTTTACGGCATCAAAAGGAGAAAAACATACAAACAATTATATCGTTAAATTCAGAAAAAAAATTGAATTTTAAAAGGACCACAGCCTACTATGATTACCATTTAAAAAACCATAAGATTATTTTTTATCTCGTAAATCAAGTTGACTATGATAACGAGTGCTAGTTTATTGGATTCGACGCAAAAAGTTGTACTAAGGGCAGTTTTAACTTTTTTTCTAAGTTAAGCAGTTGACGTAATAAGTGATAATTAAAAAAGTGTTGATTTCTTGTTTTTTTTAAGATATTTCAGGAACCAAGACGGGTACCTAAATTTTGGAAACGATAATGAATAGGCAATCGAATTCTGCCCAATTTAGCCCATTTAACGGATTCTCTATCTTTCAAAATGTAGAAGTTACCCATACAAAGATTCAGAAAATGGAAGAAAAGGCCGGAAAAGGAAGGAAAATGGCCGCCCTGTACAGCTGAGACTTTTTTTTATGGAATTATCCACCCTTGGAATGGATTATTTAGTATATTGAAAAACCACATACTCTTCCCTCTTCTGACATCATCTGACATTCTGAGTTTTTCTCTCATTCAATATTCACCACATTTTAGGATGTTTTGTATTTGAAATGAAAAACATCATTCTAAATATTTATTTCAATTCGTAGGTCATTTAAGCTGATACATTTACATTGATACGTTGTATGTGTTCCTATGTCTATTATTAGTATCCAATCAGTAAGGCTTTTAACAATTCAAGTTTCTTTTGGACAATGTGTTGCTTTAGTTTTGTTTACTATTGGGTTCTTCGGTTAGAGTTTCTGGAATTTTAGTTGATTGTTTTTTCTTGTTTGCTTTCTCCAGTGCCTCCACAGCAATCGAGTCGTTTTCGTGGTCAACAATTTGGTCATTCTGCTGTTCAACATTTATTGGGTCTACATTAAGAATTTCTACTCCTCCGGTAATGCTCTCAAAATCAGATATCCCTGAAAAAACAATGACTAAAATAGGAAGAGGAATAACACAACATTACATTGATGTAATAATCTTCGACATATTTAGAACACAGCTGATTTGTTTTTATTATCATTATTTTCAGTAATATATTTAAGTGTGGCCTGGTACGACACGATGTAAATCCACATTTTAATATGAGCTGACATTTGTAATTATTTCTCAACTTTTGATTTATTATCAACTAAACAATTGCTTCTGTGAATATTTAAGAGTATAGGCTTTCCCTTAAAATGTACTCGTAAAATTCGCAAATCCCATACCCGACGTTTTGTCATTTATTTTTGTGGCATCTTGTCCTTTTACTACATATTCTGCTGATGGCTATCAATGTTTTCACTTGAGAATGTTTCGTCTTAATTCAGCAAATAGCATTTATCAAACTGAGCAATTTATTGAGTCGATTTACATTGAACCACAAACTAATTTTGATTTATACGATTGCATTTTCCAATATAATTTTCATGAAGCTGTTCTACTGCAGCCAAAGGATTGCGGAAAATAAGTGAGGCTAATAGTTCCGGAAATTGTCAAAGCCCAACATTGAAGCTTCAGATTGAAAATCCCATCTTCTGTAAGATTGCTAATTTATTAACACTAATTTAACCATTTAATTGGGAAATTATCGACTAATTAACCTAAATTTTTTTTTTACTTGGGTTTACAATTAAGGAAGGTTAGTGACAGTGACCCGTTTTCACAATCTGCAATTCGAAAATAAGAACAGCTTTAAGTTGGGCACTTATTATAGCTTTCGTGGGCGAAAGAACAATTTACAAAAAGGCGAATAATGTAAGCTAATTTTTAAAAAGTCATTTGTATGTTTTAAAAATACAAGCAGAAGGATTTTATATAACATAGGGATACTCCGGTTATAGACGGCGGAAGTGCATCGTGATCTGGATATAGGATAGCTAAAGCAGGAACTAATTCATACTATAAAAATCGGGAAATTTTTACAGTTAACGGTTCCTACAAAAAATCAAAAGTTCTGCCACGTAAAACTTTTGGTGCTGTCTGTCTTCCAGGGAGGATTTTCAGTTGATAAATTAATTATCTACATGTCGGTTCTTCCACTACGCCGAAATGTAGCCTTATAAGAAATTTTCGTCCGTAAAGATGCCGGTCGAACTCATCAATTAATTCCTGGTCAAAACATTTTGCAAAGATTATATTTTTCTTTACGAAGAATAATTTCTAGATATTTTTAGGCGATATCATGAATCAGACCCACTTGAGGAGTGCTCAACTGAGGTTTGTCTTTATATGCTGGTTTAAAACCGTTTATCTGGTTTTATTAGAGATTTTAAGGTAGCCACTTTTGGTTTTATTGCTCGCAGATACAGTTTCTGAACATTCTAAACCTATCTTGCGCACTGAGGTTACATTGTAAAGACATATAGAAATAGTAAAGTTCACGGATTTCAAATATTTTCTTCCCGCTTAATTAATGCTGTCAAAATGTCCATAATTTTGTTTTATTTGTGATCCAGTGCGACCACAATAATTCGAAAAACTTATGATATACAGGGCGTTCCGTAAGCATTAATGCTTACGCAGTAATGCACTAAGCAAAAGATGATCTCACCTAACTTTTACTGAGAAAAAATATCTGCTCATCTGCGCAACCCAGTTCATTCGCTAGGGGCAAGTGGGGAATTTTTGAGTAGCTTCTCACGAAAATTACTCGAACTGTTTGCTCGGAGGCTACAATTAACTGATTTATTTTGAGTTGATACACCAATCATCTTTTGGTATTTTTGTCCTCTTTGTAAAATGTTGTAGCATTCACAGATTTTGGTCAAAAAAATATTTCTGTTCTTTTGCCAATTGGCAATTTTAGACATGCATTAAGTTTCTACATTAACAAAACTTAAATTAAGGTTTTTGCAATATCGGGAAAGCTCTCAAATGGATTTTAATAAATATTAGTGTGAAAGTCGCTTCTTCTTCAAACTCAATCGGACAATTCAATTCAATTCAATTCGTCAATTCGGAAGAAAAGACTTCCAAAAGACAACCGGGCGAAAAACGATGACCATGTAGGTCAGTGAAAAATTATAAAACGCTTGACATTTAATTGATATAAAACAACGTTATCGCTTAGTTCGCTGCTAAGTGCAATGTTAAGATTTGTGATAAATTGTACTAATTTTATAAATGTTCTGGTCGTGAAAGTCGTCAAAACGTTTCATGTTTATTTGTTTTCAGAATATTTGGCTATCTATCTGCTTTTATCAGCTTGTCTCAGATTTTATTCAGGGTTATCATTCTCGTAGGGCTGCTTTTCATTTACTGTATTCATTTCCTTGGTTTAAATTGATAAAATTCACATACAGTATTATTATTTTTAATGCTTTAACAGGACAAATTTTCTGATTTAAAATGTTATCTGTTACCTGGAATATGATCTCCGATACTAATAATGGGAGAATGCTCCACATTTTCTAGGATTTCCAATGGATAAATGGGATAAGATCCTTGTATTCCAAAGCCGCTGTGATCGATTGAAAAGTCGTGCGATAAACTTGGAATTTCTTGAAAAGGATAAAACGAACCTGGAAATAAAAATATTTAAAGTTTGGGCCATTTTCCATGTTATAATTTTGGAAGTGCAGAGTGGAGTTGAAATTTTATTTTGATCTTGTAATGTCATTATTCAATAATACCTTGACGCAATACGAGCATTTTTAACAGGAAATCAGCTTATTTCAAGCAAAAGTTTTTAACAAAAGTGAAAATTATAGATGGTGTCCCATAGTGTATATAAATTATGTGATGGGCTCTAACAGGTTAAAGATAGATAGAAAGTTCAAATACTGTGGTTAATGAACTCTGCAATCTGCATAAAGCACTACTCACGTCAATTTTATTTCTTTAAATAGCACACCACATTTTTCTCTTCATTACTAAATTCTGCATTTGTCATTAGATTTGCGATTATTTTGTATCCACGTTTGCTCGTATCGTTGACGGGTGATTTTAATTTGTTTGCGAGAAATAATCGGAGCAATGGGTAATTTGAAACTGCATTTCTCGCAAATGGCAATAGATAGCAACCTGTTTTTTTCCTCGGCGTATAAAGAATGAATTGGTCTAATTTTTTCTGGCTTTAAATTTTCTGCGAATGATAAGATTGAAATAATTGTAATTGACTAAAACTAATTGTTTTAAATTAAATTCGTAATTTTTTTACTTGAATAATTTTAGTACTTATCTAATAGCGCCTTATTTGAAACCAGTACATAATAATGTGCGAAATGAATTCAAGGAATAGTATCCTATCATATGAAGATTTTGTGTCAGCTTATATTCCCGAAGGAGCATAGATAATAAGGCTTTCGCTCCTGAAGGAATAAGGGTAATGAAAACCTATTGTTATGTTATACTTTAAATCACGATTGAGCAAAGCAAGTATTTATATGTGACAGATTGACTTGATTTAATAAAACTGATTTTTACAATTAATTTTAAATTTGACATTTTTGTAGTGTCTCCGAAGTTTTCCACGGTGAAAGGATTTACCGCCGACAAGAAAATAATGCCATAAAAAATAATATGTTATTATTCTGATCGATATTTTGAAAAGCGACGCCAAAGACAGACATTTTTTGTTCATGCTAGTAATGCGTTAATCAGTGAAGTCGAGACAATTTAGGAATTTGGTCTTTTTTATCTCACTAAACGCACTGAGAGTATTCATGAACTTTGATAATTTAATTTTTAAAATCGACCTTGTACCTTAGCACTGAACCGAACTTTGAAAAACAAGGCCGATTTGTTTCTCTAAAATCCGATGAAAGAAACAGTCGTTGCTAATGTTATGCAGACTTTAAAAGTGAAGGGAAATGTGGGTTAATGAATGAATATAAATAAAAAATGTGGTAATTTGAACATGCAAAGTTAATGCTGGCAGTGTTTTATCAGGCACCCTGCAGATTACAAAACTAATTTTTCTTATGCAGATCACCAAATGAACGAGATTATTATTTAAATCTGTTTTCTGTAAAAAAATTGTGATTTTAAAATAATTGTTTTTTTAAACTGTTTACTGAAAAATGGAGCAGTAATTGTAATTATTATCTAACTTTTTGTTAAAGAAAGAGCCAACATACTTGCTGCTCCTTTAAATGAAATTCGTAACTTACCTGTAAACGAAGGTATTCCATAATCTTGGTTTCTTAGAAAATCTGATTCTTTAATTATTATGTAATGAGGCACTTTTACGATGTAGAAATCTGGGGTTTTGACAATGTTTTGTTGATATGAGTATTGATTTGTTTTGGTCGGTTCTAGTATTTTAACCTGCAAAAATTCGTTTAATTAATACTTTTTTGTTTGATAAAAACTAAATTTTTCCTTGTTAGAAAAATCTGTTCAAGATATTGAAATTTTTATAATTAGTGCACTGTTTAAAACCATTCAATATTTCCGTTCGTGAATTCAAAAGGCATCTCAGTATAAAAAGTAAAGTGTATACAAACTTCATTATTCAAGCTTACAAATTTTCTAAATTCATACTTGTATGGCACCATTCTACAATTAAACCAATTCTTTAACATTGTGGATAACAAGGAAAATATTCTGAACTTTTTTGAAATGGCTAATTAATATATAATATTTATTTGTTTTCTGATTTCTTATATGTAACAAGAAATGTTTTAACTGTAAAATACTCTTATATTATCAGACTATGTAGGCTTTCACGGCCGGTTAAATCACATTTAGGAATGTTTTCCGGGCTTTGAAGCCGTGGTCTATGGGAATTTCTTCCTGACGTTCCGTCCACAACTGCGGTGAACATTATCAAAGGCGATGAGGCAGTGGGCGAAGTGATCTCCCGTGCTTTCCGACTAAGACTGAATGTCATCAGTCTTAGTCTTATGTCAGTGCATTATTATGAATTTAAAATATTTGAATGCATTTTTGTCATAAACTTATTTGAAGTTCTGGTTTAGTTTAGTATAAAGATCTGTTCTTGCCTGTGAATTAATAATACACACAATCGTTTTTATGATGGTCTGTTAGTTAACCAAAAGCAGTAAAGTTGTTGATGTGGATTTGCGTTTAATAACTGGAAAAGCCAGCATTTAATAGCGATGAAAATCATGTTAAAATCCAGAGGGGCAATTTTAGAGTTAACTCAACCTTAAATTCATCAGCATGAAGAGGTAGTTCTGTTCCTTCACTTTGACCGACTCTCGTTTCAACTTGAAGCAAATTGGAGCTCGGCAGTGCATTTTGCAAATGGTGGTTACTCGGACTGCTTGAAGAGTCGACAGCGCTTTTAGCTATATCTTCTCGCCCTTTCGTAGAAGTGGCATTATTTGGGAAGGTGGTTGTCGATTGTTGGACAATCGTGGCCGAAGTCGAGTGTACTTTTGGAATATTGATTATCAGTATATTAATGAAAATTACAAATTTCAACTTGGCAAAATTTAGTGTATTTTTGAAGCAACAAAATAAAACTTGTTTAATCTTATATAAAAAATAATCTTGAGGAACCTGAATTGGCATTGATCAATTTCATTGAAGTGACTCACATTGTTACTTAAACAATTAACAATTCAATAAAATACTTAATTGCTCACCTGGAGCGGCAGTGGTTCCTTCTTTAGTGGTTGCTTCTAGGACATTTTCGTCATTTTCACTTCCAGAAGTAACTTTTCTTTTCAATCTGTACTGCTGGTTTGCGGGTACAGCGGCAGTGCAGCAAATACATAACAAAATTACCTACAGACAAACAATTATTGATGAAATGTGCAGCACTTGCGAAAGAACAATTATCATTTTTGCCACATCGCTCGGAGGAAGCTTGAACATTCATTACTTTCCCCGGAATGACTTTCGGATTATTTCGTCTTCTAAAATTGTGTTAATTAAACGTAAACTGCCAGAAACTAAGACAAACTCTGCATTTTATAAAGGGGTTTTACATAATTTGTCGATATATCGACCACAAAGTTTCTAATTAATTATTTCTTAACATCATTTAGTTCTTAATTTCCATGCACTATACAAATGTATTTGCATATTAATTGATTATATATTTCTGTAAATAATGATTTAACGTGGTCGGCTAAATCACCGTCATATAACCTTATGTGAAAAACACTTAACCTACATTCGATGAATCTAGCGAAGTTATAATATATAGCCATTATTAAAACTGTGAACACAATATTGATCGAATAACAGCCAATATGAGACATTTACTATACATCAGAAGCTACAAGAAAAAACGTTCTTACCAGACAAATTTTCTTCATGTTGGGAGGAACTAATCTTCAGTACAAGACTAGAATTCAACTTTCGTAAAATATTAAATTGAAGAAGGTCGTGAGAATCGTGCAATCTGATGCTATTCTTTTTGGGCGATCTTTCGCGACTAGAAGATAAGCGTTAAAGCAAACAAAAACGTTCCAATTTAAACTGATGTGAATGTTGAGATCATAATTAAGTGTCCGCGACAGTAGTGAAAAATGTTAAATATCGTAATGTTGAAAAATATTGAATGATGAACTTAACTAAGGATATTATAAGGCCTTTAAAATATTTTCAAACAAAATATATATTTTTATTATTACTGAATTAGATTCATACACCTAGTTAAATTAAACCATGTACGACAATAGTTTTAATAAGCAACTAGCCGGCATCGAAGTAGCATTTCATTTAATTTTCAACAACGAAATGGCTTTTTCGTACTTTCTGGTCTAAGTGGAATTTTACCGGCGAAACTGTTGAAATTACTGTATAATAAACTAGGTAACTTTACGTTTATTTGGTTGTACCGTTTTCAATGGAAAAGGTAATACATGTTTGGGAATCGAATTTCGATTATAATTTGTATAATTGACAATTTGCCGGTTCATATTTTGAACGATAGCTATACAAATGTTAAATGATCCAGATATTGGTTTTATTTCAAAGTTAGTAGGGACGGTTTAAGCGTTAAAGGAATGTTCGTAATGTTGTAAACCTCCCTGTTGCATATAAAATACCTCAAATATTTACTAAAAACGGAGCTTCAATATTATCTACATTGCCTGCATATTAGCATAACATATTTTGTATGTAGAAGCCACTAAGCATTTTTTTAAATATTATGAGACATACATAACGTGCAGTTTGATTAGGTGCGTTTTATTTTCAGCATGCTTGCACTTCATTAATCGAGGAATGTGCATAGCCGCCATGCTGTTGGCCATAAATTCCTTACAATTAAAATTACATTACCCAAATTCACGTTTTCAAATTAACCTGAGTTTAATCGGAGCAACCAAAATTTTATGCATCTATAAATTATTATATGCGAAATTCTAAATGCTTCAAATATCAGCATTATCCCAATAAACTTGGATCAATTGAAACGAAGTTCTTGTGGTAATATAAACATAAATTATTGTTTTGCAAAATGAAAGTTTATTAAAAGAAGCGAAGTTAATAATAGAGATAATTCATCAGAATTTGCATACTTCTAAGTGAATAATGACCAATACATCCTCTGAAATAACGAAATATGCACCGTCTGAAAAATTGCGGATTTCTGGGTCAAAATGATATTGTTCACTACAATTTACCTTAGAAGACAAGTTATGGGAAACAGAAATACAAGAGGTCAATTTAGGTTATTTTTTTAATGGTCTTTTTCAAGCAAGTCCCAAATAACTTACAGAAATAATAGACTAACAACATATTAAATTAAGATGGATTGTGGATGTGCTGAAATGCGGAGCTTCTTTGACTCAATACTAAACCCGATTTAACAGCAATTAAATCAAACGTTAATCATTTGGTCTCTTACTTTAAGTTACTTGTCTGATGGCTATTAAAACTTGAAAAACCCTACGTTGTTTTTCCAAAGGTACCATTTGTTGATTAAATTAATATTTGCTAATTTTTAAATTAGGTCTTCGAAACTTATAAGCTAATAAAAATATGTGAATTACTGCAAATTGTTGTAGTGTTGTGTATGTGTGAGCTAGTCAAATCCCAAGAAAATATATATTAAATTAACCCATTTTTATGGAAGCACATGTCACAAATAGCTTATGGCTATTTGCCAAACGGGTAACTCCATGCTTGTAAGATTTTTACATGGCAATTTTCAATGACATAAGTAGCAGCTATCTGCAGTGAACCATTTCGGCGGTATCTATTTTAAAGCTATATTTTGTTGGCGTCTGCCCAAAAAGTTAGGAAGTGTTAACGTTATAATCTTGCCATTGTTTTTCAATTCTATTTAATGTCACGCTTTATATTTTATCAGTACGAAAGATTCTTTTTTAGCCTAATTAGTAAACTAATTTTAACTCAATAATAATACAACTTAGTGTTTGTGATTAAGTTGCTTAACTTCCACAACCACTTTATATAAAGGTTATGGATATCCTTTTAAAATGCATTCGTTAATAACTTGCTTAATTAATTATTAAATATTTAAATTTTTATCAAAATTTTTAACCAGGAAACTGTTTACTTTAATAGTTGCAGTTTGGGTAGAATGGAAAAAAATGCTAATTGTCGGTTCGATAGTTGTTCATTGCGTTTTAATGAAAGATGTTATTTTTCATTTTTTAATGAAAGAAGCTACTAATCCGCTGACAATGCAGAAAAAATCAAAATAATCGTTGGCGCGGATAAAACATTTCTGAACGTGCCAGTTCGACGTCCTGTCATTTATTTTTGTTCTGGTTGTTTGGTGTGTAACAATAAAAGAAGTTGTCAATCTAGTAATAATCAATAATAAAAAATTAATAAATCAGCAATCATCCAATCAATAATCTATAAAAAACGAAATAAAAAGGCAAGCAGTAATCCTCAGCGCATTAAAGCACAAATGTGTGCACAACAATAATATTGTTTGGATAAAATTCGTCATATAGTTGAAATAGATACAAGAAGCGGATAAATAAATATACGAAAACATCAATATCGTGGAGCAATTAAAAACTCAAAAGCCTAAATAATTATGGGTTTTGAAATGTTTTAACTTTTTCTTAAGGCAAAGCAGATAAAGAGCCTAAACAGGTTATTTCCAATAATCCTGCTGTTCCCAATGCAACCTCAGTGTTTGCTCATTATTGTCAAACAACCTGGATAAATCACATTAGTACCTACGTTCAAAAATGATGATATAAATATATAATTGATTTAGTTACTAAGCGGCATATTTCTTGCAATTTTCGTTACATGCATGACAGGAGTTAGTAACACAAGATACAAAGTTCCGCATTTTTTAAAGCAAGGATGGATACAGAAGGAATATTCATTCTGTAGTTATAAGAAAATTGTTTTGCAAATATGAATTAAGTAAAACATGAAAAAATATTACTAAATTAATCACCTTATAATTATATTTTCGGAAAAACGAACAGTTTCAGAAAGTGGTCAGATAAATTAAAATGTATGCTAAGAAACTAACGCGATTGCCCAAAAATTGGAAACATTTATTGGACTTTAACAGGGAAGTATCAAAGTACTACATACTGTTCTGTATCGAACACACTGTCAATTCTATTGTGTTCGTGACTGTATAGCTTCAGTTAAACTACCTTGGTGCCTCTTGCCAAAAGTATCAATTATATGAAGTCTTTTGATCTCGCTAAAAGCTAGTTAAAATCGCTAGTCTCGGACGCATTATTCATTAGGCCCTATTAGTACTTTAAATATTTGTAACATCGCAATCTTTAAAGTTTCCTTTGTCTAAGATACAGGCACGTTGTGCTTATGTCTGTCTATTAGTTTGGTAAGTGTGAGCTGCCATAATAAATAGATGATTTTAGTTCCCCTACTACATTGTAAATTTGTCTAATCATTCTTAATTACGAAAAGATGATCATAACGTATTTTGTGCAACTGGTTCTTACGATTGGTCATTTTCAGTTGTTTCGTAAAATATGTATATGTAATATGTAAATATATATGTTCTCGTAAAATATTGATGCTAAGCTTAATGTTGGTTTAGGTTTTGAGAAGCACATTAAGCGTTCAGGACCCTTACGGTCTAAAACCTTGCAACTTTTTTCCCGAAAAACCGGGAAATAGCTTCACAATCTTCTATATATCTTTAATCATTCTCAAAATAGAAATATTTCGAAATATCGAGATCTCCTGAAGCGTTGCTCTTGATATACAGTGTTTTTAATGAGATGTGCACTATTGTCCACTTATTTTTAATTAGAAATAGCTATGAAGCTGGTTAAATTAGTAATATAGGGGCTCTTTTCTGCATATTGAAATGGTGGCATTAGATAACTCAACCAACGCCACATCGTTAGAAAATATTGATGTTTTTCGGTGTTTTAATGGAATTATTTTATTTGTCTTTTACAAAGAACGATGTGTAGTTGTTTTTTCATTATAAGGAAAGAGAGGGACCATGTTCAGCATGGACCTAAAATGATAATTAGATCTGAAAATCTACCATGACAATACATATAGTTACAAGATGCCTTTAGCATTATCAGAATACAGCTTAGTAGTCTTACTAAATGATAATACAATAGAATTTATATTTCGACTAAATATTTAATTTAAATTATATAAGTATATGAAATACTACAGTTTAAAACAAGTATTAACTCAAAAGTAGTTTCTCCATAACAATCAATTTCATTAGTTAAGCAACTATAAACAGTCCATTTCAAAATGATATCGTTCCAGAACAGAAACGAAGATTGACTTGATTTTTAGAATAAGAATCAATCAACCATTTATCAGATAATTTAAGAACCGCATTTTCTGTCTAACACGTTTTAGCATGTTAAAGCGATTTATATGCGATACAGCACAACTATTTAAATATCAAGTTTAAGAATGATTTAATAGCTAATTTATTCGATTTTTGTCGTTTGTATTCATAGGCTTGCTTATGTAATACCTAAAATTTTTGGAAATTCTGATTTATTATAGTAAAATTTTGTGGTTTATTTCTGACGATTATTTCCATTTCGGTTGTTATTAAAATATTGAATATTTATGAAGATACACAGGTGGGCGATTTAAAATCGATTTCACTCTCATTTGATATATCGTTTTCATTTCTAGGAATTCGAAAATGTACTCTTGTAAATATATTTAAACTAGGCACGCAGCATAAAGCGTTGGTCATTTCATGAAGTTAGCTTAGCTTGCGAGCTTGGAAACCAAGTTTCTTTGGGAGAGACATTTTTCATTTATTATTTGTAGACATTAAAAAACGTTATAAAATAAATGAAACCTTAGAAAATATTCTCAGCCCGTCGTAATACAGGGTGTATGGAAAATGTAACCTAACTTTCTTATCTAAAATCTAAACTCCTAATTTTTTGGGGGTTTACATTTAAAATAAGAAAGTTTAGTTTTCGTACATCTTCTATAGCTAGAGGGCTAAATGTATTTCACATGGTTTCAGCATGACTCGTTATGACTGGAAACAAAATTTCAAGCTTTTAAAACATCTGCAAGTTGGAAAACTGCTAATGCACGGTCTACGTAAATCACCCTGTATATTGTATATCGAGCTATTATTAATATTTAGTTTATATCACTAACATTAAGTGGCATTTTATTGCTGGCGATTTTTGGGAAGGTGGGTGTATTAAAACAACAAAGTATTGAGAAAAATATAATAATTCACATTTGCGTCAGTATCTTTTAGTGGATACTTAAAAACATCGACTTATATAGTGAACCTGAAATTTACGACTATGTAGAAAATGGAAATTTGACACGAAAAAAGCGATGGCAAAGCGATCGCAATAGTATAACTCGACAGGAAATTAGATGAAACGAAATTTATTTGAAGGAATATAACAGTAATAAACCAGATAAACACCTACGTGAGTGAGAACAGTTATGGCAACTCTGGAAAGACGTAGGTTGGAATAAAATATTTTTGCGACAAAAATTGGCGTGCCTCAGTTTAAGTATATGTCCATCAAGGCATGAATGGATATTAGAATTTCGAGGATTTGTATGTTTTAGCTTGTTAATGGGTGTAACTTTAATTAGCGGAAGAGCGCTAACATCGATTCAGTTAGTTTAACTAACTGCAATTTTGACGCTGCTATATAAACGCAAATAATGATATTGTTTGCTACAGATACACATGTGCTGAATGTGTTCAACAGATCATGTTTGATAATTTATAACTTACCAAAGATGAACTCTTAATTGATTGCTCTAATTATTTAATTTAATGTATCGAAATTTCGTACTTTGGTACAAATAGCATTAAGATCTATAATTACAAAATGCAAGAATATTGTATTTGACAAACTAATGAAGTACAGTTCGAGTAATAGAAACATGCAAGGACATTGGATAATTTAAACATTATTGTTGTCTAGTTCAGCAATATTTTCCAAAATAGCAATTTGTTTTATTAGCAGAAGGGATGAATTGGTGCCATTGGGTTCTATCGTTGTCGTTTCTGCGTCTTTATATAAATATTCATTTGAGAAATTGTCGGTTGTCGTTTCAAGAGGACCGTTTGTTTGAGCTTCCGTGTTCGTTTCCGTTTCAGCAAGAGTATAGTCGTTGGTTTGAACATCTGACCTAGATTGCAGACTCAGTGTGCTGTTTCCTGCTAAAATATCCCATATTGACAGTTCTGGAGCGTTAGTGGTAGGCAGCGATACGTCTTCCTCAATTATCAGAGTTTGTAAGGTCGTAATTGATTCATCTTCAGGAACTGAAGTGGTTGTTCTATCGTAAGTATCAGTTATCCGTATTTCAGTGAAATCATCAAGTTTTGAGTCATTTTCAATGATTGAAGCGTCATCAGTATCAATTCCAGTCCTTGGCTCTAAAACTTGACTGTAATCATCAAGTTTTTTTACAGTAGTATTTGGGGTTGAATTAAAAATATTCTCTAGTTCATCGTAGGATGGTATATCTGATGGCTGAAATGGCCCTGTCCTGTTGTAACTAGCAATCTCTGGAACCTTAGGAAATGATAAACTAATTATTAAATATAATTTTGAAAACTTCTAATTACCTTTTCAATAATGTACCCAGAGGACGTTTTTTCCTGAAGATTTTGCGTCTTTTTTATATCCTCGGAGTTGATTTCATCTTTTTCGATATTAGTCTGGAATAGCTAAAACAGACTGGTTTTGAATGAAACACACGCAAGCCAATAAAATTTAATTAGCCAGTCCTAATTAACTCACTTTGCTATATGCCAACTGAGCAGGTATCAAACGTGTGGGCCCACTAGGCTGCGCTTGTGTAACTTCAGTAGGTTCATAAACTAATAAAATCGGCATTCGTTTACTTTTTAATTTGCATAGTAGGCTTTTGTGATATATTTTGGTTGAAATGTTTATGCGACTTACTTGTAGGTTCTTTGATTTCAAACGACATTAGCCCCACTCCGAAAGAGTTGCCGGAGTAAAGAAATGGACTCAGCTCTGATATAGATGCAATATTCTGAACCAGCACGTCTTGATTGTTATTAGCGTTAAAAACATTTTCTGCTGAGTATGACGACGGTAGGCTAAGTTGAGTGTTTAATTGATTCAGATTAAAAGAACTTCGAATATTTGCATCTGACGGATCTGCAAATAAATTTAGCTGCGTAAGGTACGAAATTTATCTTGCTGACGTCGGCTTCTCCGGATTTCTTTATTGTGCAATCCATCGACTTCGGTTGCAAGACGGATAACAGACAACAAATAAAACTGCTACAGAACTAAATTACCTTCATTATTTAAATCAGCATCTGAATGTTTCAGCGAGTCGGAAATTCTTGAACGTATAATTAAGGGCATTTGCGAGTCATACGAATTGAGGGAGAATGTTTGAAACTGATACTGAGCAGGATCAGGTAGTGCTTTCTCATTAGAAGTTGCAACGGGTTCAGATTGATTCACATCGGTCGTTGCAAATGAATACCCAATAAATACACAGATCTGCAAAGGGAAAATGGATACGTTTAGATTAATCCCATCAACGTGCCCAATCAATTTTTAGCACCCATTACCCTAGGAATTTCATAAATACTGCAGAAAAATGCTGTACTAGTTCCAATTCGTCTGGTTGAATTACGGAAACCGCCGTTTATGTAAATATTCGGAACAATTGGAAAGTAAATTAGTTAAGACTCAATGAGGAAAAGTTGTTTTTGAACTCCCCTCCCCTTTGACGTGGTGCAAAATTTTTAAATGGAGTTCTTATGCAACGTGTTTTAGAACAAAGTGTCAGTAGTTGATAAGGTCTATCTTCCAGGGTGCTGTGTAATAAGACGATTCTAATTCGCTCTACAAACTATTTGGCAAATCAGCAACTCTTCCTCGCAGTCACAATTTAAACGTTCTAAGAATGTCTTGAATTTTAAATTGTTAGTTATTCAGAAAAACCTTTAGGCAGAACTCTAAACAGTTATTTTTATATCGTGATCATTTTCAGTTTTATATGGCAAATAATTTTACACATCAACTAGACTCATAGATCAATGAGGAAATTCTGTTTTAATAAAATAGTCTCTAAGCTTATATGCTAAAATTTTAAAAACAATTTTGTTTAAAATTGAACACTCGGATCCTTACTCTGCATAAAAATGTCCGAAAATATGTAACTTTTAGAATTATTAATATTTGAAGTAAGTTAGATACTTCTTATAATACTTATACAATTTTTTGAAATTATTTTTAACAAAATTAATTTTTACTTCTTTCGAAACTTTTGTCATAAATTGTTATTGATTTGCATAATTGAGTTCTTACAGGATTTCTAATATTCAGACATACGTTTTGAATTCTGAAAAAATCATTGTAGCCACGAGAAGTTTATAAACTTCCTGCATCTCATATTAAGAATCAAATCAAACCTCTTTGCAACTACAAGAGTAAAGCGTGTAAATTGGAACTAAAATTATCTAAAAATATGAGAAATAGGAATGATCAAATGTGGCGAAGCGGAAATTTAAAAAAATATATAATTTCAATACATAATTAGGATTTTAAATGAGTTTTAAATTCTATATAAAATAAAATCCTACAAACTCTTATTTGCGCCGGTGGTATGCAACACACAATTAAGGATGTTAAATAATTGAACAAATACTAAACGGGATGAACCAAGTTACACCAATAAAGTGTTAATAGACATGCGTCCGCATAAAAACTTCAATGACTATGACTATGGAAATTAAAAATTTTCACATCGTTTATTTCATATAAAGTTTCGGCGAGACAACAGCACCATCATCAGATTTAAAAATCAACCTAACCACAAACACCAATTTACAATTAAAAAAATGTTGTACAAAACTATAATTTACAAAGCGTTATAACATTCATTAGTTCTTAAGGAAAAAATTCGTTGGGTTAGTTTGGGTTAGTCTTAAGACCTAAAAGAATCCATTATTTCCCAATTATGGGAAAAGTTTTTCAAATATTTTGCTCTCCCAAAGATTTTTTTCTTAAGAAGTAATGAATGTTTTAACGCTTTGTAAATTATAGTTTTTGTACAACATATTTGAATTGTAAATTGGTGTTTGTAGTTTGTGTCGAATTTTAAATTTGATTATGGCGTTGTTGTCTCGCCGAAACGTTGAAATAAACGATATGAAAATTTTTGTTTCACACTGACTGAAACCCAGGAAAGAAAAAAATATAATAACAATTACACGCAGTCAGAAAAATGTATCAAACTATGGAAATTGATATATTTTCTATCTTAAATTTGTATTTTGCCATCATTTAATTTTCAATTTCTTTTACCTAAACTTTTCACGCAGATGTGTTATAACATGTAGACCTATATTAGGACCTGAAACATCGCCTAATTTTAACCAACCATGTTTTTTTTGTATTTATGTTAAATAATCAGTAGTCCTGTAAATATCCTGGTAGAGCCGTAGTTACGAATTTCTAAAAAATGTCAGCGAATGAGAGGTAAAAAGGTTTTAGAAACATTCCACTTTGGACATCTTATGTAACCTTAGTCGCTGGGTTTGCTACCAGTTTGTTTTATTTGCTTCTACGCTTGTACCGCGTAATTAAGTTATTAAATATTGCCGGAAAAGATTTTTAAAATAATATCCTTTCATATATCCAAAACCCTTACTTTGTAGGCCATAAATTTTACCAAAACTCATTTGTTGAATACTTTAAAAGAGATAAATAGAGAGTGGGTGTGAAAGGAAGTATAAAAATCAAATGGGTAACTGTTGGGCCATATTCAATGCGACATATATATAGAGAGAAATATTCTAAAATGCTTTTTCTATCTACAAGGTGTTGACAAAAATTGTATTTTCCCAATTTTTTTAATTGCCGTTTTGTATGTGATTGGAAACCTGAACTGGTATACACCATAAACCGATTTTTCTCTATTAGAGACGATTATTTTTGAAATTGGGCGTCACACGCAGAATGCTTTCGCATCAGGTTCACTTGGCTCATGAAGCCATAAAACCGAACTGGACGTGGTCCAGATCAAGGAGCCGAACTTCGCAAGCTAAGATGTTTATCTAACTGTTTGTTCTTAATTTTTAACATCAATGTTACGTTTTTTAGTAAGATATTAATGTAATGTCACAATTTTAAATTAGTTGCTGAAATTTCCATGGCCCTAAAAACATGATTCTATTGTTTTTTCCATGGACTGTTGTATTACGTCGCAAAACTCACTGATTTGATTTCTAAAATGTCCTTAATTCCGTATGGACGCGAATTAAAAAAACTCACGGACCATGGCATGAAATTGGTATCTATTGTCGCAACAACAGGGACACCTCTTTCAACATTAGTACGTACACCATATTTTCAAATCTTCGATTGATATATAGTTAAACTACTTGCAATTTATTTAACACCTGAATCGGGTTCTTCTTCAATAATATTGTGTGCTTCAATGTGCATCGGTTGATCTATTATCGATTTTGAACTTACCACTTTTGCAAGCGCAAAAGTGAATCGTAGTAAATGTTCTTGTATCAGGAACGGCGGGCTGGAACGCTGGATAAAGCTCCTGATATATTCGCGTTGCTTTAAAGCTTATCCATTAGTAAGCCCATAGACAACGTGCATAACGGCAAATTCGACGTTGACGCAATTTTGGAATTGCATTATTTTCATTATTAAACGCAAGTACATATAGCCGCGTGATAATTACCAGAGGAATACCTACATAGGAAATTAGTCAACAGGACCATCAGTGACAAAAAAATGAGGTCCAACTTCCATCGATATTAGTGTTTTCTTATTAATTATATTGATGTAACGCTTAGATATTATTGCGAATGCCCCCTAAACTATTGACTTAAGTAGATGTTTACAATATGATGAAAATTGGGGAAACTAAACTAGAATTTTAAAAATTTAGTTGATCAGATTACGAACAGTAGAAAACGTCTTGCGACGGATGAGGGGCCATGCTTCATACATTTAAAAGATCCTGCATGTGAAATTTAATTTAAAAAATTGTCTTTCATAGGGAACACGTCAGTTGTGATACAACACACATAAAAATACAAATCAACAAATACAAGGGAAAAGTATTTTTGATGCAAATCAAAACATCTCGATATGAACTTTGGTGAATCCTGAGTCTAATTCAATAGAATCGTTTGTTTACCGTCTATTCAGATTCACCTTGTATATGGATCTTTAAATATTTCATATTTCCTCGCACCTACTTACAAAGTAAATGTTTTACATTCATTTTAGAAACCCTGTGCAAACAAATTGATCTGAATTCAACTCATAATTGACTTTTGATTATAACAGTTTCTTTGCAACATGAGATTGCATGTTAATTTTGATTCAGTGTTCTAAAAAATTGGAGATGGATATTGGAGACACATTTTCATGGCTGGTAATCCTGTTGGTTTCAGGTATATGAAACGCTAATTAAATATGCACGAGAATGATGAGATAAAACAGCTGTGTTATATTTTAACGCATATATCCAGATTCAGAAGATAGGGTCACATTGAGAATTATCGGTTTTAAAATTTGCAGAAAAGCAGATGTCTCAGTTTACTTCAAGATTATTCCAAAATTTTGTGTATTTGTGATACATATAGTCATTTTGACAATAACAAGAAACTATTTTAATGGTGTATTAAAAAAAATTATTCCAAATTTAACATTTTCGTCATGTTGATAAAGAATTTTGAAATAATTTGCTGTGGCATTGGGAGACAAGTAGTTTGGTTTGACGAATTGTCGATCAAATGTTCGAATAGGCGTTTTTTTGCAATTGGGGTAAATTTATGCACAAATACTCTTTTGTTCTTGCAAATGCCACGAGCGGCTCAATGAACAAAATGAATTTTGCATGTTTCATTAAAATAGTGTTGAATATCGCCACGGGAAATGAAAGGAATCTATGACTGAATGACAATATCGAAAACCGAAGTAGCTTTTCAGGAAATCGAATGGTTTGCATTTGAATAGTTTTTCCTTAAACGAACCGAGCCAAGGGATGACAGGAGAAAAATATTTTAATGGCTCTGCAATGCTCAACGTTGCTGGCTAATTAAATAAACTATTATTATCTATATTTTGTCAATGTTTAAATTAAATGGTGTGTTTTTATGAATTGAAACTATCGGTACCTCGTGTGCTAAATGTACCCGGCTAAATGTTCTACATCAAACATATTTTCAATAATAGAGACTATAGTTCGCTATTCATTTGCTCTAATGCTTAGGACTTTTTTCGAAACCTGGTTGCTAACCGAGATTTAAATTTGCGTTGGTCACTATAAATACTACCCATGCATCAATCAAACGCTTTAATGCACATGTACTTAGGAATTTTATTCATGAATGTGAAGCGTTGCCTAGGTTAATGCTCATTTAATGTTCGTATACGTGAAACGCTTGGGTCCCCGTTAGATGGTTATCTATCTGCATGACCATTAACATTCCACACTTGACTATGTCAAACTGCCACTGGGTTGTAAAGCTCAACTTTACATGAATTATTTTTTAGGTCATAGTAATTTCGATTCCAATTGAAAAGAACGTTTTCAACAAACGAAACAACTGGTTCGCCTACAGTCTTATGCAATCACTGATCTTATATTAAACATGATTTATACATTTAAACATAACTGTAATAATGTGCATAAGTGTAATTCTAAATCATTTGAAAGTTTTTTAAGGCGCTAGTCAATATTTTATAGATAGCTCATGAACGTTAATTTATAAAAATCTTAAGCTGCCACCATGGTACTTTAATATAAGTGCACATATTTATCAATTTTTTAAGTAAAGCAATACTTTTTAATACTGAAATACATACCAGAAAAAAAATCATTTTAGTTGGTTGATACGAGCACTAAAAGCTGAAAACTGAAGTTCTTCTTGCATATTTTCCGGTTTATATGATGACCTGAAGGACGCTTGAGTCCGCATTTAAGTTCTCATTGGGTTAATTAATTGGTAGCTTCTATTATTGATTATTTTATATTGGAAATGCTTTGGGATAATAATGAGAAACTTAATCCTTTTTAGAGCCACATCTTTAAATCCTTAATAAAATTAAATTGCAGTCATATTTTTATTTTAGATATATGTATTGCAGAATATGTGCGCAGTAATTGTATCAGAAATCGGTCAAATGATCTAACATGTACTAATTTTTGGAAAGCCTTTCGTTACGGGAGAAATGACCATTAAGAATCACACTTAATTCAGTTGGATTTTGGAAGCTCTTTGGGCTCTTATGTAATACTTATTAAATACTAGAAATGTCAATTTAGACTGGTTCGAATGTTATTCGCTTAGCATATTTAGTCTAGGCCGAATTACTCATATGTCGTCCGAAATGTATGCTAAACAAAACCAAGATTTTTAAGAATTACAATCCGCAAGATGAATAGTAATTTTTCGGAAGATTGTTGCCAGTTTCAAATGGCAATGACAATAGTCATTTACGTAACAAGTAGGATATGAATATTATTAACGCACGCATGTGAAGATTTAAGGTAATCACATAAGTGTATTAATTTTTTATTAATTTTAAGTTTAATTTAGTATTAATTAATTAATTAATAACCAACTGTTATACCTAAGGAATTATTTTTACGTCAAATTTTGAATTTCAGTATTGACCACAACATGGCAATGTGGCAAGTAAATCTGCTTTATTATATAATGGAGTATCTAACCAATATTCATGACGGTCGTCTTGAAATTAATGATTTTGATTATCATAATTATTCCATTCAATTATGCTTTTTCCTCTCGTAGGCCGAATGCGCAAATATCAACAACAAAAGCAAATCCTTGTAATATAAAGTTAATTTCCATGCTCGTAAGAACTTTACTAAGACAGGAAATTAAAAGTAGAGTATAGTACTAAACCTGAAAACATTCAGTGCTGGTGGGCATCAGTGAATGTTTTTTGAAATAACTATCTATTGTTAGATTTTCTTATCATTCATCGATAGTTTCAATTAGAGTTTCAGCCTATTCAACTTTTGCTTTCGGAAGGATATTCTTGGTCGAATATTGACAAATTTGACGCATTCAAAAAATCCCCAACTACGGTGTGGTGCGCCTTATCATGCGGAAATCCTAAGTTGCGACACAAAACTCAGGTGATAATCGATCATCTCATTAAAATTTTTCGGTTACTGTTAGGGATAATATAGGCTGTCCCGTAAGAAGATGATCAAAAGGATACTGCGATATTCTTTGGATCAAAAGAAGACGCTCTGACGTAACTTTTATTAACGAAAAAGGTCTGACTCCTCGGGTATTAATGGCCAAAATTCTTCAAATAATTTTTCTTTTTTGAAATATCGGGAAAATGGTACAATGTATTTTGGTGAAACTCGCTGTGAATTTGTTCTTATGTAAGGCACATATTTTGATGAAATAATCGAGTTCAGCCGTTTTTGACAAGTGGTGAATTCTTGAATACCATTTCTACCATTTTTCTTGATCCTCGGTGGGATGTAGCCGGGAAAGTATAAAGTTTTGAAAAAAAACTTTGAAAATGTTGTCAAATCAGTCAGCTGATAGAGTCAGTGACAAAGTCAACCTGTCAGCGTGCGTGGCGAAAGTTATCATTTTGCACACGAGATGAAGACAATTTGTAATGGGTAAAAGTGACGCTTTCGCCGTTGAAACAGTGGCAAAAGTACGTACTTTCCACCAGGGGGATCAAGAAAATAGGGGTTTTATAAATTCAATAAACGAAGATTAGGAAACCCAAACTGTTTGCAAATAAAGTGTACGAATTTAAATATTAAATAAAACATGTATATTTGTGACATAAATTTGAAACATTTGTTGAAAAATGAAGTACACATCATGAGGTTATGAATGAAGTAAGAGATGGAACAAACGTGCTCTTTTCATCAATTTCTCAAGGACGGTTGTGCATAAATTTTGCGATATTTCAGAAATACAGCGTTGAATTTCATCTTTTAAGGCTTCAATCGTTGTTGGTTTGTTCACATATACTTCTGACTTTAAAAAAGTCCGAAGGCGTTAAATCAGATGATCTGGGCGGCCAATGTCGATCTCCAAAACAAGAAATATCGCGACCAGGAAGTGACTCGTGCAGTAATTCAACAGTTTCTCTGACTGTATGGCATGTTGCATCGTCCTGTTTAAACCAAATTGAGATCCATATTTTGCAATTTTACGATAACGAACACCACTCACAAACGGACCGATAATGCCTCCATCGCACAATGCATACCAAACAGTGACTCTTTTTTGATGCATCTGTTTCTGAACGATCACTCGTGGATTTTCGGAACCCCAAATGCGACAATTTCGTCGATTAACGAAGCTATCAGGATGTAAATGGGTCTCGTCACTAAAGATGATTTTCGTCGGAAAATCACCGTCCAATTGTCGTTGTTTCAAAATCCAATCAGCCAAAGGTCTTTGCTTGGTCTTCCGGCTTTAGCTCAACTTTGTACGCATAAAGCTTCACATCTTTTGTTAAAATTCGATGCATAGTGGTGGTGGGAACACCAATTTCCTGAGCTCTATGCCGAGTTGATGTGGTTGGGCTTTCCTTAACATGCTGCTGCAACGAACTGCTGCGATATTTTCAGTCGAGCGACCAGGCCGGATGCATATTTCTGTTTTTACTTCATTAACAGACCCAGTTTGCTTAAATTTGTTCATTAATTTTCCACAAAGTGGCTTCAGTTGGAGCATTCCGATGGTCTATAATTGTACGCATCTTCCGAACTGTGGCTGCGAAACTTCCGTCACTTTGATAATAATTTTTTACAATTACAATAGGATTCGTTGTTGTGTATTGAACCGCTCCATTTTACTTAACTCCTACTGTCTACTAACGAACGCACTTTTTTAATGTCAAATGATGACACTACAAATGGCACGCAATTCAAAACCGTCGTTCTTTTTGGAACACCTTTTAGCTAAATTGAAACGTGGGAACACAATAGAAATGTGTAAAACCTTTCTCTGTAGTAATAAAACTAAACATTAGAAAATTTAAATTTATTTACTTTACAATATTAACCTTCTAAAATTTTCAAAATTTTCTAAATCTACCAAGCGGATGAGTGAGACGATGAATATCCTCCGGAGCGGCTTGGGACGTAAGAGTTCAAAAGACCTGTAGTTGACGCTCCGCTTCCATATCCGGATGAATATGGAGATAAACTGGCATACGATCCAGAATTTGAATATCCCGATCCATATGAGTTGGCGTAATTATTTCCATAGCCCGAACTCTGACCATATGATGAACCACTATTGTAAAGTCCTGAGCTGCTTGGAAGGTATGTGTTTGTTGAGTATGTCTTGGAAACGTATACCGGAGTTTTGACTTCAACTGGGTACGGTTGTGGTACTGCTACATGTACGGGAGTAGGAACCTGAAAATGTTTTGATTTATAATTTGCGCATATTTTAATAACGATACACGAGTCAAACAAAAACTAACACTTTATGAAAAACTTGAATCGAGTATTTTAAGTTTAATTGCTTGGATAACAAGTTGAACTTTTCCTCTAGTTTTTCATAAAATATAGAAGAAATGGATTTAAGTACATTTCCATCGTGGCACATATCTAGATCCTGATTCCGAACATACCCTGTGATGTTCGGAAAAAGGTTTAATGTGCAAAAAAATGTGAAAACCTGTGATGAACCGCTGGGAATATCACAGTAACGAACTTTAGCAATTTATGAAAAGAGATAGACTTTCGAGACCATTCCTTGAAACTAATGGGTTTTTCGGGTTTTTAGGCCGTCGTTCGGTAGAATTTCTTCTTACACTGTTCTGAACTCTCAGAACAGTGTAAGCGTTCAAGCAAACCACTTCTGAGGATGCAAGCCACTCGTACTTGCGAAACGTCAAGAAGAAATTCTACCGAACGACGGCCTAAAAACCCGAAAACCCCATTAGTTTTTTGGTAATTTAGGTTATATTTAGAATGCTGTTTAATTAAGATTAAATGCATCCACAAATAAAAAAAAAATTAAAAATTTGTGATGCCATAATTTGAGATTTAAAATAAAATGTCGTTTGTAAATCGACAGAAGGAAGTTAAGTAAAATGAAGCGCTTTACACAATAACGAATTCTCATTGCAAAAATGATTATTGAGAATACTTGATCTGTTGATTATGTCAACCTGAAATATCCTAGAAGCGCGTGTAAATATTCGATGCATTGTGGTTGGGCCACATCCATTCGACACCGAGCTTCTAGCAACCACAATGCATCTACTTTTAACAAAAGATTTGAGACTTCATGAGGACAAAGTCGAATTGGCTCAAGAGCTAAAGCTGGAAAACTTTACTGGTTTGTTAATATGATTTTCGAACAACGAGAATTGGATGGTCATTTTCCAACAAAACTTATTGTTAGTGTCAGGGTCGATTTTGTTAAATTTGGAGTTACGAAAATCCACTAGTGATTTTTGTGAAACTGATGCATTGAAAGAGTTGCTGGTTAGTCACCCGATCATTCTTGATCGAAAATCCGATTGGTCAATTATTAACCGTGAATGGTCTTATCTGTTTATAATGGTTGCTATCGTGTCGTGAAATATTAATTAAATATTTTGTGTCGAATTTGCAAAATATGAATCTCAGCGACATGCGGTTTCAACAGGACTGTGCACTAAACCACACATACAGAGAAACAGTTTAAATACTGCATCATTTTCCCATTTCATCTTTACTGTGTCATTCATTTTCTGGTCGTGTTCTTTCTCGCTTGAGGGCTCTCGATCGGGATTAGTCGCCAGACCATGCGACTTGACGCCTTTGGATATTTTTCTTCTCTGATTTTAAAGTCACACTTTTATGTGAACAAAGTGACATTTATTAAAGCTTTAGAAGACGACCCTGTGTCAGTGAAATATCGCGAAGGTTATGAGCAAAAGTCCCTGAACATTTCATGAAAACAGCATCGCCTGTGCCTCCAAGCCGAGGTGGTCATTTCCCTCATGTCGTATTCCATTCAGAACATCATGACACGTACTTCATTATTCAATGAATGTTTCCAAGATATGCAAGAAATAAACAAAAATGTTTTATTTAAAACGCAAATAGTAAATATCGCGGTGCGTTATCGATCACACAAACATTTTTTTTTCTTCCACTTCAAGTGTCATTTTTTTACAAAACAGTTCACAGGGTGCTTAATTGTTTTCTTTTCTTGTAAATTGCCAGAATTTCCACGATCATAAAATATTTTTCGGGTTTTTGCGTACTTGAGTCAAGTTTATCCAATTTTTAGTTAACACCCAATTTAAAGCTTAGCTTTATGGCGTACGCATTTTGAATTGCTAGACTTAAACTTTATACATTTTATTATCTGATTTCGAGGCGTCTACTAATTTCCTATGGTAGTTTTATTGCAAACTTTTACTTACTATGGTACTTTTACCATTTTTACTGCCATTGTCAAATAAAAAGAAAAATAAGGTATATATTTACGACCAAAGTATTCGCTGAGTAAATAATGCTCAAGTAGGTACTCGGTTTGGGCGACAATTCAATTTTCCTAGCGTGGTTTAATCACAAGTTTCATATGATTTCAAATTAACTTTTAATTCATAAATTTGATAGCTTATTTAGAGCAACAAAATATGGAGTAAAGCATTAGTGTGCAATTAAATAAAAAATACGCTGATGGACAAAATTAAGTATCTTGTAGTGATCCGAAAAAGATCATTAACTTCCCAGAAGTACATTCAAGAGATTTTAGAAAACCATGTCGTACCTTTTGAATCTCATAGGAGACAATTTCTTGTTTATGAATGATAATGGCATTTGAGTGGTTGGAGGGCAAGACGTTTGAGGGATTGGAGCAAGGGC